TGCTTAGAGAGGGCTGAAAACCCTATGAAGCGCTATATAAGTCTAACTGCTATTGCTATTGCTATTCTTTCCTCTAGACTAGCTAGGTTGCTATGAAACTGTCTTTCGTTCCCAGCTGGTTGACCTTGAAGCAGCATCTCAGGGAGATACGGTGAACTTTTAATTTCCCCTCTCCCATCCAGCCCTCCTCCCTAGAGTCCACGGCCGATTGGCACTGAGCCGATGGTGAAGTACAAGCATCGGTTGACCGCTGACCTTCTTCTCTTCCCATTAGACATCCATCAGACTCCGTTTCTTCCAGTTCCCCAGCATGGAAGGGAAAGCGGTCCATGTGGCACTCCTGATCTTCTTCTTGCTCTTCGTGGCTATGACCGGCTGTTTCCTCTGGCAATACAGCCTACCCAAAGTGAAGTCTGGTGAGTATGAAGCCCAACAAAGCTCGGGGTTTTGTGGGATAGTTTCAGAGGTAGGCTTCACATACCGCCACTACCGTCACCCGCGCAAGAGTGCAGCGTCGCAAATCACGGCAATTCGCTCGCTCGCTCGTGCCATCCGCACACGGGTGCAACGTCAAACAACACAGCGATATAGGATGGGATTGCGCCCGGGCGGGGCGGGTCGCCATTACCAATTTGCCCGAACCAATCCGAACCAGCTGAACACCCCCTCTAGCTTCACAGTGGACCTCGACGTACGACGAAATGGGACCAAGAGCATTCTCCACGTCACTCCCCCGTGTTTCGCTGCACATTCCTTGGGAGATGGGACATGTGGTACATTCAACCCTGCAAGATAAGACACCGGGGGTGGGGGTGGGGTGTTTGATGACAATAATGTTTGCGAAATGAAGGCAACATACCCAGCAAACGTTATCGCCATTTTATTCTGTATGGAAAATATACATAGTTAACGAGGATGACGATAGTGGCACATCCTGTCAAATAAGATGGTAATTAGAGGTTAGCCCACACCTGGTAGCCTACATGAAAAGAAAAGCCAAGATTAAACCTAGATTGACAGAGAGATTCTTCCATATTCCTTCATATCTATCCATATTCATTACATTTCTCTCACTCCTTTTCCTTCACCCTCTCATTCTCTTTCTTTCTTTCTTTCTTTTCTCTTTTTCTCTCTCTCTCACCCTCTCCCTCATTCTCTCTCCCTCTCTCTTTCCCCTCTCTCTTCCTTTCTATCTCTCCTTCCTCTCATTATCGCTCTATTTCTTCCTTTCTTCTTCCTTTCTCTCTCTCATTCTCTCTTTCTCTCTCCCTCTCTCCTTTGTTCCCTCTTTCTCTCTCTTCCCTCTCATTCTCTTTCTTTCTTTTCTCTTTTTGTCCCTTTCTCTCTCACACCCTCTCTCCCTCATCCTCTCTCCCTCTCTCTTTCCCCTCTGTCTTCCTTTCTATCTCTCCTTCCTCTCATTATCGCTCTATTTCTTCCTTTCTTCTTCCTTTCTCTCTCTCATTCTCTCTTTCTCTCTCCCTCTCTCCTTTGTTCCCTCTTTCTCTCTCTTCCCT